AAGGAGCGTCACGGGGACGCCAGCAGAAGCTGAAGAGAAACGAAGAGAAGCCAAGAGAGAAGCAAAGAAGCAGAAGCAGAGAGCCCAGAGAGAGTGCGGATTTGCTGGGGGCTGGGAGGACTGCCAGCCTCCCGGCCCCCAGCACCCTGCCTGCTGTTACCTGGTAATCCCAATAAAAGACCTGCAAAACCACTGAGGACTCTGACTCCTCCTTTACCCGGTCTGCTGGATCAGAAAACCTGCACGTGTCCAGTCCTGCCCCTACAATTGGTGTAAGTTGGCAAGATGATCCATGTAGACGGGTATGGAGCCCTCCGAAGACCTGGAGGCACTGAGGAGTAACAGACTGTTTGCCTGTGACGACGCTGGAGGCGCCATGGCGCCACAGGAGATGGACAAGGTCCAGGAGCTGCAGGACAGACCTCGCGTGGAGGAGACACCCGAGAGGATCAGCCAGTGACCCCTGAGGCAGCAGATCGTCGGCGAAGAGAGGACCACGATTCGAGCTCGCCAGTGTGATTCAGGGAGAGGCCAACAGACTCGGACTGATGGACTCGGACTGGTGGACTCGACTGGTGGACTCGACTGGTGGACTCGGACTGATGGACTCGGACTGGCAATCCGCCAGAAGGCGGAGGACCTTGGCAGGTTATGTTTTTTTTTTTTTTTTTTTGAGAATCTGGGGGTGGCAGTGGGCCTTGATGGCCAAAAGCAGCCTGTGTATGCCAGCAGCCAGGCAGAGGAGAAAAGCCAACTGAGAAGGCAAAAGCTGGTGCTGATGCTAAGTTTGGGAAGCCTTGAGCAACTGTTAAGCAGCCTGAGTATGCTGAAGACCTGTAAGTCTCGTAAAATCACTGTGGGTGATGCCTGCTCATTCTTGAGTGAGGGTGAGAGCTGAGGAACATGTCCTTGGGGGATGGGTGGGGAACGTGGCTTGGGGTGGAGCCCAAGCCGCAAGTAGAGTTTGGATCCCGACCATGTGCTTGTGCAGTGGGGGCTGGCTTGAGTGCAGGGGTCTGCGAGTCGCATTGGTGGCCATGAAGGCCGAGTGTTGAAGTGACTGCAGATAGAAAGCCTGAGGGTTGGCGATTACCCCCAACAGAATAGAATTGCCAATCCAGAGCTAGTGCATCCTGGGGGTGGATGCTGTTGTGTGGCTTGCACCGAGACTACAGCCAGAGAAGGCCAGGAAGCCTGACGGCTCCTGGCGTGTTACAGTAGATGCCGTGAGTGGTTTCCCCTCCCTCGTATGAGCAGTGCTCAGCAGCAGATTTGGTGGCTCATCTGCTGGTACCAATAATTGTCTTTTGCCACTAAGTTGGGGCCCTGCTGGACTTATTTGTGTTCTGTTGTATTTTTGTTGTTATATTGTGATGTATTTGTTTTTGTGGGCCATGGCTGCATTGTTTATGTTTGATAAGAAAATTGTATATATATATATATAGACTGTATGGCAGAAAATCCTGAGAGGGTAACGCTGTAAGGTAAAGAAAATGTCAGCCTTTTCTGCCTCCCGCCATCAGGATAGATGATGGATCCTTGCGGTCCTGAATGCATGCTGATGGCGGGCACCTGGAATAGGGTGTGGGCATAGGTAGATGGGATTCACCTGGGCTAAGACTGTGCTTTTAAGGGCGGCATCACAGGGATGCGCAGAAGCTGAAGAGAAAACGAAGAGAAGCCAAGAGAGAAGCAAAGAAGCAGAAACAGAGAACGCCAGAGAGCCCAGAGAGAGTGCGGATTTGCTGGGGCTGGGAGGACTGCCAGCTCCCGGCCCCAGCACCTGCCTGCTGTGTAACTGGGTAAATCCAATAAAGACCTGCAAACCACTGAGGACTCTGAATCCTCCTTTACCCGGTCTGCATGGGATCAGAAAACCTGCACCATGTCCAGTCCTGCTCTACACCCTCCAAAAAAAAAAAAAAATCCTATTGATCAACGTAGTTCTGTCTGGATTAAACAATTATTTGTTTCTTTCTGTGTATTGAATGAGCCATTTGCTTTTTTTAAATTGTCCAGATCTTTTGGAAGATTAGTAAGACCCAAAAGAAATACATTCTAATCACTCAAATCTCAAATCTCTTTCTATGTAAAACCATCAGATACTAGTGCTAGGATATTTAAGTCTGTCTTTTAGGATTTGCTAACGAAAATGTCAAACTGAGGTTTTCTATTTCTCCCCACCTGTAGTGTGGAATATTTTTAAATTCCAAAAATATCTATATCTCAGTGAGCTTAGGCCCCAATGAAAAATTAACTTGTCTGCCACCTAGGAGGTTCCAAAAACTGGCAGGGCAGGGATTGGGAATATATTTGTTGAACTTTAAAAAGCACTTATGTAGTATGTAACTAAATGCTTAAGACTCTTGAAATCACTTTTCAGATTTATTTAATGTTCATTAACCCTAATAGTAGTTGTTAAAATTATCTTCATTTTACAGATGAGGAAACTGAGGCAGAGAGAGGTTAAGATAGAGTGAGGGAAGGGAGTCAGGATTTAGCTAGCAATCTGACTTTAAGTTCATGTTAACTATATGGCTATCCTGCTCTCAAGCAACTTAGTTATCTTCCAATAATAATAATAATGCTATAGAAGTACAGACAGGCCCAGAAATATATTTTACTGGTCCACTCACTATCTGAAAATTCACATAGATATCTAGATATTTTGATTTCTCTTGCAAATGGAGCTACCGAGCACCATTAGGTTTACATCTCCAACTCAGCAAACAAAGCTGACAACAATCAGCTATTTGGACGAGGCAAAATGAACACAGATCTGCTGCCAGACATAGTGGTCCTGTTAAGTTTCCTGTCTGACCCCTACAAGCTTGCAAGGTGGTGAGCTCTGTTTATTTGCTCCACTACAGCAAGGGGCAAACTGCAAAATGGATTCCTTGATCTACTAGACACTAATTTCTCATTTCTTCCTATAACTGTGCTCTGATAGTGTGTCTAAAATCTAATCTTGTCCCGGAGACAAGTACTGAATGGGAGTTAGTCACTCCTTTCATTTTGGGGTCTTGAGACTCCGTTGTTCTGGAGTGACCAGGTGGCTGATGGTCTTCAAAGTGAACTGGATCATGGGACAAGGCTAACTTGTGTCCAGTGGTCAAAGGCAAGTTTCCAAGGCCAATGTAAG